TTTTTTTTTTTTTTGACTGGAATGTGTGTGTTAATGTCTTAATGATATATAAGTAGCTTAGTTATTGTGTTTTACATACTTGCTTATGGTTATCAGGCGAAAGTTTTGAGGATTGCGCAGTTAGGGAAGTGAAAGAGGAAACCGGGCTCGACATTACGGAAATCGAGGTTATGACAGTTACTAACAATGTCTTGTCCGAACCTAAACCATTACAGATAATAGCTGTTCTCATGCGTGCAAAGCTGGCAGACCCCAATCAGACGGCCCTTAATCTTGAGCCTGATAAATGCGACGGTTGGGATTGGTACGATTGGGACAATCTTCCGAGCCCGTTGTTTGGACCACTGAAAACTGCTGTTGTTAATGGTCTGAATCCTTTTGTACTCGGTTAGAGATATGGATTTATATTTGTGTTTATCTCTCTGCCTCTGGCTTCTTCTGGTCAGTTTGTGATGATTGTTATCAAATTCAAACTTTAGCAGTTATTAATATTTGCTGGCAAACTAGGCACAAGGCACTTGTGGTCTAGGGACTACTTAGCTTAGTAAAAGCATTGTTACTCAATGGTTTTATGTTATTTCTTGTCTTGATTTTTTAATCTTTATGTATTTCTTGTATCGTGTCTTTCAGTTCTCAAGACGATCAGTGTGTGACTAGGCATGTCAATAAAACCAACAAATTCGAGTTATACCTGTATTTTTGGGTCGGGTAAACTCGAGATGATCGGGTTTCTAGTCGAGTTCGGGTAGAATTATGCTACCCGTGCGGGTTTAATAGAACAACCCGCTACCCAACATGATTACTCTACCCGTTTACCCGCAAGCAATATATATATATATATATATATATATATATATATATATAATTAAATTATTCATTATAATTTTGGTTAAATTTTATTTTATTGTTTATGATTTTTTTTGTATCAATTTTTGTTATTTGTACAATAAAAAATAAGAAATTCTATGGTGCCCATATGGGCACTATAAGGCATGCCATAATGTCTATGTGGCATATGAGATGGCCTTTTTGTTTCTAATTAACAATTCCACCATGGATATATTGATTTGGCTTTTTAAAATATTTAATCAATTAATACAATTAAGAAGCTTAATTCATTCAGAAATTTTCAAATCGCAACCTCACTTTATTCACTCATATTTCCCAGCAGCACCGAATTCGCCACCACTGTGGGCTTTTTCGGTGAACTGGTGGCCACGGCGGTCTGAGATGGGCGGAGGAAGCTCGGGCTGGACGACAGGTTGTCCGCGGGAGTTCGAGCAGTTGGAGAAAAGGGGGAATTTCATAATACTTGTTGCAACTGCTCGAACTCCCGCGGAAAACCTGTCGTCCAGCCCGAGCTCCCTCCGGCCATCTCAGACGCCGTGGCCACCAGTTCACCGGAAAAGCCTATAGTGGTGGCGAATTCGGTGCTGCTGGGAAATATGAGTGAATAAAGTGAGGTTGTGATTTGGGAAGTTTTGAATGAAAAGTTTCTTAATTGTATTAATTGATTAAATATTTAAAAAAGTCAAATCATATATCCATGGTGGACTTGTTAATTAAAAACAAAAAGCCACCTCATAAGTCACATTACATTATGGCATGCCTTATGGTGCTCATATGGGCACCATAGAATTTCTGATAAAAAATTATGTACTTAATTTTTAAATATTATATTATTAACTAGACTATAAAAGATAAATAGTTATATCTCATTATTTATTCTAAATAAAATTATAGTTTTTTTGTTGTCAAACTTAGTTAATAAAATTTCGTTATATTAAAATTTATTGTGAAATTATTTTTATTTTATTTTTTCACATGAAGCGGGTCGAGTCAGGTTGGGATCGGGTAATGCCCAAATTTAAGAACTCGGGTTATCCGATTGCCCGACGAAAACCCGCTAACCCTTAGGTAAAACCCAATTACCTGAACCCGAAGATCACTAGCCATGTAACGGGCCGAGTTTGGGTAGTATAAATTATATGCGGGTCGGGTTTAGGTTTGCCAAAGCCCGCCTCTAACCCGACCCATTTCCATCCCTATGTGTGACTGGTGAAAAGGTGTTAAATTGCAATAATATGACTGTTATGCGACCTAATGGTGTAGTAGTGGAAGTTGGAACCTGAGATTAATTCTGGTTTTTAGAAAAAATGAGGGCTTTGGGTTATGTTGTCACACAAATTTTTGTGCTTGACGTATTGGTTTACCATATTTTTCTAACATACTTTTGAACAAAAAACAACGATACATTTACAGTGAAATGTTGTACTTTTTCAAAGTATGTCATTTATTTATACATAAAAGTATGTATATCTTTTGAAAAAGTATGATTGTCTAACCGTTGGAACATTAATACTTTCAAGCTTCAAAGAACTAGGCTTACTCAGCCTAGACCTCATTTTAAAAATATGCGTAAAATTTAGTTAGTAAATACAATGTTACTTCTCAATGATTTTATGTTATTTCATAGCTAATTGGACAGTGAAAGCAATTGCCAAAAAGAGTCGGCAAAGAGCAGCGTGGACAGGGATTTGGGATGGGGTTCATACTTGATACCATTACACCACCAGGAGAATGAGCAAATCAACCATCTATAAAAGATGTGGCCGAGGTAAATTCATGATATCATGTTCATCTCATTATGAAATATGTTCATCTCATATTACAACATCTTTATCTAATTATGAAACATGTTCATCGCATTCTCACACTTGTTCATATCTTTATTCAACATGTTCATCTTATAATAGAACATGTTCACAACATATAACATGTTCATCTTCATTCTGAAACATGTTCATCCCTTTATACAACATGTCAATCTCATTATCCAACATGTACATATCATAATGCATCATGTTCATATGATAATACAGCTTTATCGCATATAAGTTTATTCATACAACCAATTTGATCAAGCACTAAAGTTTGTTATTTTCAAAAAATAAAAATGCAATTCAGCAAGAAGATCTGGTTGAAATGTTTGAAAATATAATGAAGAAAATGGCATCAATGCTAGCTGAACTTGGAGAGGTGTTTGAAAGGGCAAAGAGCTCAAATATGAGTGCTGCCAGCCTGTTTCAGAAGACAATTTAAGGATATGTAGCAAATCTGAAGAAAATGGCAGAAGTTGTGGTGCAAGAAAATGGTAAAACAACATTGGACGAATCAGGAAATGTTTGATCACCCATATGAACCACAAGATGAACTTGAGGCATACAAAAATGAGGAAGAGGAACGGGAAGATGCTGGGAATGAAGAAGTTGAAGGAGATGATGATGTGGTGCAAACAAATGAGCCAACAACATTGGATGTATATGAAGGAGAGGATGATGAAACGGGCATTGATGGACCAGAACAGAATGCAGGTAACTTATTCATTTTGTTCTTAAACATGTTCATCTCCTTATTTAACATGTTTATTTCATCATCTTAAACTTGTTCATCTGTTAGTATGACATTCATTTGGGTCTGAAATATATTCATTCTATTTGTGAAGGAATTCAATTGATTTTGAAAGATATTCAGAATGAATTTGGGGAGGATGATGAGACAGAAAGTAATAAGGGAAAGGAAGGGGAAGCTGCAGGGAATGAAGAAGAAATATGAGAGAATGTTCCTGAAAATAAGGAATAGGAAGAAGAAGTTTCAGGAAATGAAGAAAAGATAGGAGAGAATGTTCCTCAAAATAAGGAACAAGAAGAAAAAGTTGTCGTGAATGAAGAAGAAGCTGCAGGGAAAGAAGAAGAGAGAGGAAGAAGACACCTGAAATTCCATTGGAGAGAAGACTATTATTTGAAAGGTATATATTTTGTGCTACTAAAACATTCAAGTTGCAAATTAACTAATATTATGAATATTACAGGATGGTTCTTGGAGAAACAGGTGACGTAGAAAGCAATTTGGATCCCCCTTTCCCATCAACTCCCTTCTAGAAAGGACATGTTGAAATCAGATGGAAGTGCACTCTTTAGGAAAGGGCATTTTGTACTTTTGCAATGGAAGGAGACAATGCTGATAAAACCACGTATGTTATTAACATAATTCACATTGAATTGTAACATGTTCATTCTAATTATAAAAGATGTTCATCTTGTTGTATAAAAATGTTCATCATGTTCATTTTATTATGTGACATGTTCATTCTAATCATAAAATATGTTCATCTTGTTCTATAAAATGTTCATCATATTTAATAACATGTTCATCATTTTTTGTGTAACTGTTACAGAGAAGTCATGTTCATCTTTCATCAATAGTCATCTTTTTTTGGTTCATTTGTTCATCATATCCAATGTTTGAACCTTGAATAGTATGTTGAAACAACGATTATTGATTCTGGGCATTGCACTTGAATTTCATATACTACAGCACAAATAAAAATAAGAGGAAATTCTGCTTAACTACTAATGTCATGGTAAGAATCCATATGTGATAAAATATCAGCACCTCGCATTACCTCTTAAACTAAACAATAGACATACTTTTTTGATGGGATTGTCATTACAACGTATGAGTAAGAGGGATGAGAAAGAATATGTGAAGGATGCAGCTGTAAGGTTGGATTTCGAGTTCACAGAAGGAGGGCTTACAAAAATGCAATCAAGAATATCAGTCATGTGAGTAAATATAACATGTTAATCTTATTATATAACATATTCATCTTATTATATA